TATGTCTGACACCAGTGGTGAGTGGGGTGCCATTAGGCTGCCAGTCCAGGGAGGAAATGGAGCAAATCAAAACTCCTATGCTGATCAGCATTGGGCTCAAGCTTGTGAATGGCTGCTGCATTTCCAACCTGAGTGAAATTGGGAGATCCAATCTTAAAAGAGAAAGAAAGAAATAGAGAAGGAAAGAAAGAAAAAAGAGAAAGAGAAAAAGGTAGAGAAGAGAAGGAAAGAGGGAAGGAAGAAAGAAGGGAAGGAAAAAACAAAGAGAAAAGGAAAGAAAAAAGGAAAAAAGATCAGTATGCCTGAAATGCACAGAATTCTGGGAGCAAGGATACCTGGCTTCACTCATTCAACTAACATTTATCAACCTATCCTTCTTTTTCCAAAATATGCTATGTAAAAGAAAGCATATTATCATCCTTCTCTGGGCCTCAGTTGTAATATCTGTACAACAGAGGTGAAGGTACAATGAGGATGTTAATTTTAACACAAGCCTTACTTGCAAGGTAAGATAGTAGGAAAGTATCCAGTTGCCTTAAATTAGTTTGGGTCTCCAGGCCCAGATGAATTACAACCAGAGTTTAATACTTGCACATATAATGTCAGAACTAGTATAAGTGATCTTAAAGAAACCACTGAGAATAGGAAAAGGACCAGAAGACTGGAGACAAGTATATATTGTCCTGGTTTTTAAAAGGAAAAAGAGTAGATTCTAGAGACTATAGATTAATTAACCTGACGTCAATTCCCAGCAAATTTCTAAAATGAGTTATTAAATAGATGGTGGTTTGTGAGCACTTAAAAAAGAACATGGTCATCACTGGGACCCAAAATGGATTCTCTAAGAATAGAGTAACCAAGGAAACCTCATTTCCTTTTTTTGATAGGATTAATACCATGAGTTGGTGAATCAGGTGAATGCCACAGACTTAGCACATATTTATTCCAGCAAAGCATTTGACAAAATCTTTCATAAAAGATTAATGGGTAAGATGGTGAAATGTGGGGGTACAGTTAGGTTGATTCACAATTGGTTGAAGAACTGTATCCAAAGAATATTGATTAATAGACTAGTATCAGTGTAGAGTAGTGAGGTCAAACTTAAAATAGAAATGGATCCCTGAAGGTCACATATTGACTTAGAAAACTACAAACTAACACCTGTGACTATGCCGTATTGCGTTTTTATTTATTTTGTTAACCATTTCCCAATTACATTTTAATTGGGTTTGTGCTGCACTCAAGATTTTACAGGTCCTATGCTGTGAGTTTGACAATTCTGATGTAAAGGGATGTCTCTATTGGGGTACCACAGGTCTCTATGTTTATGCCTATCCAGTTCAATAGTATAAATCAATAACCTAGATGAAGACATTAAAGGCATTCTTATCAAAGTTATGGATGATACAAAACTTTAAGGGATAGTTAATATCATAGATGGCAGACTCAAGGCTAAAAAAATATTTCTTAAGGCTGAAATTTTAGTTTAATGGGAATAAACGTAAAGTCCTATATTCTGGTTCAAAAAATTAAGTGCACAAATTCAGTCTCAATAGAAGAGGCCTAGCTTAACAGTTTTTTGCATGAAAAAGACCTGTTGGGGTGGGAGTGGTTGGTGGGGTTGGTTGATAGGGTTAACTGGCCATGAGCTTAATGTGAGCTGATGGTATACTGTGATTATTTAATTAATCAATCAACAAGCATTTATTGAGCACCAACTGTATGTCAGGCACTGTGCTACGTGCTAGAAATATAAATACAAAAATGAGACAGTTCCTTTTTATACTAATAGTCTTAGGCTATCGTAGTAAAAATATAGTGTCCAGAATGAGGAAAGTGAGTCCAGCTGTAGACCTGGGTAAGTAGCTCACCTCTGAAGTGCAGTGTTCATTTATAGGAGACACATTTAATAGCTGATTTGACAAACAGGAGAGTGTCAAGAAAAGGGCAATCAGGATGGCAAAGCTTCTAACCTGTATTAGGAGAGGAATGTTTGGAGGAAAAGGGGATACTGAGACAAAAGAGAATTATAAAAGCTATCTTCAAATAGTAGAAGACTCTTACATGGAGGGAGGAGCACACATTCTTTGTTGTTTTACAGGGCAGACCTAGGACCACTGGGTGAAAGTTACAGGAAGAAATATTTTAGTTCTCTCTATGGAAAACCTTACTAACAATTGGAGCAAGGGATGAACGATTATTTGTTCAGCTATGTTGTAGAAGGGATTCCTACATCGGGTGGAAAGTTAGACTTAATCATCTCTAAACACCCTTTCAACTTGAAGATTTGGCATTTATGTAGCACAGTGCATAGAGTGCATAGAGTACTGCTGTGGAGTCAGGATACCTGAGTTCAAATGTGGCTGCAGATAGTTACTGGGCCATTGCTTGTTTTTTTCCATGCCTCGGGTTTCTCATCTGTAAGATGGGGTTAATAATAGAACCAACCTCCCCAGGCTTGTTGTGAAGTTAAAAGGAGTTATTCATAAAGTACTTTGCAAACTTTAAAGTACTATATAAATGCTATCTATTATTATTATTATCATTCTGTGAAAGCAAAGAGGTTCAGGAAGTATATAATATCAGAAAAGGTAGGGAGAAGAGTTTAGGATAGGATGATCATTTCCTCTCCAGATCCAGGGGGATTACTTTTTCATATTAGGAAGTAGAGCAATGTCTTAGCAATAGACATAGAACACCAGTTTGGGTTTATTTCTATACCTTTGGGTACTTTATAAATAACTAGGAAAGACCCTAACTGATTCTGAGAGTGTCTTTGAGAAGGCAGGGCTTGGGTAAAATATAAATAGTAAGAGCTCACATTACAAAGCACTGTTCTCCCAACAACCTATGAGTTAGGTATGACAAGTAGTATTATACCCATTTTACAGAAGTGAAGACTGAAGTTGAGAAAAGTTGAATGACTTGTTTGAAGTCATGGTTATTAGACACTACAACACTGACCTCTTGACTTTTTCCACTGAAGCATATTTCTTCTCTCATGTCAGGACACCTCCCCCTGTAAAGTTCTAGAACCTATATGAATAGAACCAGTTGGATATCCTGGGGATAGTGGCAAGGAGGGTTGTAGATTTCCTGGTTCCCTGCCAGAGGTGAAAACCAAGTTAACTGACTAGAGCCTAACAGACCCCAAGGATCGCACTTGAAAGGTGGTATTCAGTGCATTTAGGATCATGGAACACTAATTCTCTGCCAAAAATGAGGAAGGGAGCATGTAAAGTAGGGTCAGTATCTATCTAATGGGCAGGGTGAAATAGAGGCAGGTCCTTCCTCTGTTAAATACTCAGGTATGGATACCCTTTGTTGTCTAGGCTCCCAAAGCCTCTCAAACTGTAAATGGAACACTGGCTAATTATTGTTTAATTATTGTTTAAAAACCAATTGGCACAGTACAATCACTGCATTAATTACCCTGACAGCGTCTGCTTTCACTCCCGCCCTACCCCCTTACTCCTCTACCCAGTCCCTCTCTCCTACTTTAATTCACATTCAGCTTGAGAGAACATCTCCTTTCTCCTGCCTGACTTGATCTCATCTATGCCAGGGAAAAGGAATAAACCATAAAAACCCACCAGGGATTTGGGAGTTTTGACAGCTGTCCAAGATAGAAACTATCCACCTACAGAGATTCAGGATAGGGCCAAACACCATGGAGATGGGGGAAAAGGGAAGGGGGGAGACAGAAGACATACACAGACAGACAAGGGAGTAGGAAGTATAGAAAGAGGGGAGAGAACAGAAGTAAAGAGAGAGGACAGAGGGGAAGGCGGGGGGGGGGGAGGGGAGGGAGAGAGGGACACACACACAGGGGGAGAGAGAGAAGGGGAGAGGGGAGAGAAGGAGGGAGGGAGAAAAGAGACAGACAGAGAGACAGGGACAGAAAGACAGAAACAGAGACAGACAGAAAGACAGAGAGATGGACAGAAACAGACAGAGGAGATAATAAAAGAAAGGGGGAAGGATGTGGAAAATCTCATGTAGAGAGGAAGAAAATGAGAAGGGTGAGGAGAAGAAAAGAGGAAAAAGGAAGAGAAAGAAGCTATGGGGAGGAGGAAAGTAGGGGAAGGACAGTGTGGAGAGGAGAAAAAGGAGACTGAAGAGTAAGAAGACGTTAGAAAGTGCCAGATAGGAAAAGGAAAAGGTAAAGTAATGGAGAGGAATAAAGGAAGACAGTTCAGATAATCTCTCTCCAGGTCAGTCCCTCCTGGTTCCCTTCTAAAAGGAAGGCTAACAGCTCAGTGACACCCCGGGAAAAGAGGGCAGCCCACCCCCTATACTCTTTGGGGGCCTGGGCCGGAGCGAGGAGCAGGAGGAAAAAGAAGAAACACATTCCCTTTACCCACTGCAAAAGACACCCCCACCCCAACCCACCCAATCCCGACTCTGGCGCACCCCAGGCCCCAGCTCCCCTGGACCGTGCCCCGCCCCCCTTCGCTCGGATGCTTCCTTCGCTAGGGCTTTTCCTGCGGGGCTCAGGAAGCTGGCCTAGCACAGCCACAAACAATAGCTCGGGGCTGTGCTCTTGTCTCGTTCCTCCTGTAGCTTCTCCCGGTGCAGCGGCCGGCTGGACTCTGGGCAGGCAGGGGCAAAGCGGAGCAAGCATTTCCCGGAGTCGAGAGGGAGCCGGCCCAGGGCAGGTCCCGACCCCCTGCACTGGCGGGCGCAGCCCGCAGCTAACAGCTCGGGGCATTGTTGGCACTGAGTTGAGGGAGCAAGATCAGGAGCCGGAGGAGGAGCAGGGGCAGGAGGAGGAGGAGGAGGAAGAGGAGGAGGAGGAAGAGGGAGGAGGGAGAAAGGAGGAGGAGAGAGGAGGGAGGAGGGACCCAGCCAGAGCAGGAGGGAGGGAGCTAAAGAGCGAGCAGGCGAGCGAGGGAGGGAGAGAGAGAGAGAGAGAGAGAGAGAGAGGGGGAGAGCGCCAGAGAGAGAGAGGGGGAGAGGGAGGGGGGGGGAGGGAGGGAGGAGGAGGAGGAAAAATAAAGAGGAGAGAACGGAGCAGGGCTGAACAATAGAGACAGGCAGACGGGAGAGAAGGAGGACCAGCTGCTGCTGCTGTAGGAGGAGAGCTGGAGGCTGAGGCATCTTGGACCCCTGTCCCTGAGCCAGAGAGGAGGCAAGCAGCCCGGTGGAGGGAACTGGCTACCATGGGGGAGCCAGCAGAAGGCTCCCCCAGCCCTCCCCGAGCCTCTGCTTGAAGCTGTGCATCATCTCCTCCGGCTCCGCTGCCCCCATCCCGCGCCTGCCCGCCCTCGAAACCCCAATTCCTTAGGATCTGATCGCCTCAGCTTCTGGGCACCGGGTCTCCGCCGCCCCCGCCCCCGCCCCCACGGAGGAGACGAGACGCCGGCCCTCCGTTTCACCTCCCGGGGGCTGTCCGCAAAGCCCCCTCCCCAGTCATGAATCCCCCGGAGGGGGCAGCGGAGGAAGGAGGAGCAGCCGACTCGGACGTGGATGCGTTTTTCCGGACAGGTAAGATTGGAAGGGGGCAATGGGGGTGGGTGGGGACGAGAGGAAGCCTTCCTTTGAGGCTTTGGGTTGCTTTGCTGGGGGCAGCATTGCCTACAAGTTTGGAAAAGGAGGGGAGCTGCGCCGAAAGGGGGGAGTCTCTTCCCCTCCCCCTCCAAACCCTATTTCTCTTCTGTTTCCCCCTTCCCCCCCCAGCCCCCACCCTCCTGCTCTACCACTCGTTGTCTGGGTTATAGTTACCGTGATTTCTGTTATATCAAAGTCCGAGACACTGCTGGAGCTTTGGTAGGGGTGGGGGCTTGTGGGCAGGATGCTGGGCTCACTCTCTTTTCCCTTGCCCACTCATGCCTCTCAATATTAAACCCCATTTGCGCGCGTGTGTGCCTGTGTGTATATATGTGTGTGTTTCTATATGTGTAAAGGGGGGGAAGGGGAGGAGTGGAGGTGGGGAGCTGGAGGTCTGTCCACTCCAGCTGCCTTCCCAGGCGCAGGGAGATGGGGCGATGTTGCCTCACTTGGTAGCGTGCAGCTCCTACAGGCACAGATCTTACCCGCCCCCGACCTCCTCCTGTACTCCTTCCCATTCCTCCATCCCTTCTGCTTGCCACTTCTTCAGCGACAGTCACTAAGGGCAGTTGGCTAGTAAAGCGGTGGATCCACATTGAGAAAGAGAGAGAGAGAGAGAGGAGGGCTCGGGGCTGGGGGCTTCCAGAAAGGGGCAAGTAACTGGAATTCAAAGAAGATTAGGAGCCGGGAGAGGCAAAACAGGAGCTGGGAATCTCTGAAAATCAGGAGGCTGAGAATCAGAGCTGAGATCTGTGAGTCACGATCTCACTGCTGGGAACTGATAGCCAGCACTACTTGCAAGAGGAGAGAACTGGCACTAGCTGGTGTCTGGATGGAGCCAGAGACTCAGACTTCAGTGGGGAGCCTTGGCCAAGGAGCAGCGGGGCGGAGCACGCCTCTGTTCTCACCTCTTTCTCTCCTCCTTTAATGGGAATGCAGAATTAGCACTAGCAGGTGGAGGGCATTTCGTAACAATCTCAGCTCATTCCTGGAAGTCAGAGTTAGCATCCCCACCTCCCACCACCGTGGGGACCGAATCTTTGCTTTCTCCTGGCAGCCTGGGGAGGGATGATGATTCGAAATCAGGGGAAGGTAACACTCCTTAGGTTCTTTCATTTCCACAACTCCATCCATATATGTACACATATGTGTATATATGTATATGTGTATACAAATAATATATGTGTGCATATGTATATAAAATATATGTATATAAAATATATGTATATATGTATGTATGTATATAGTCATCTGTGCATTTCACATATGCATTCCCTACATCCATCATGTCAGTGGGCCCAGGTGCCTTTAGAGGCCTCTACACCATACATTTCTATATATTTATAACGCTGTCTTCCCTCCACCTGTAGACCTCTCTCTCTCTCTCTCTCTCTCTCTCTCTCTCTCTCTCTCTCACTCTCTTTCTCTAATATGTGGTATGCATATAGATACACACACACATATATATATATATATATTTGAGAGGAGAGAAAGAGATAGATAATTAGGGGGGTTCAGTCTCTCCTGTATGTTTAGCTTCTGTGTATCTGTAACCAGTCTCTTCATTTACAATTATCTATCTTCTCTGTATCTAGAACTACTTCATCTGAAAATTTTATCACAGAGTTTACTAAGTAATGGTAGCCCTAAGGATCTAACTTTCCCCCAAGAGACTTGACTTAGGGGGCATGGACAAGCAGGGTCATGAGGTCAGCTTGGCTCTGAACACTCTCTGCTTGTACATCTGTTTCCAAACTGCCTTGCTTTGCCCCCTGGGTCATCATTTGGGAAGGAGGTGGGAGAATTGTCATTAGACCATGTGACTTTGGAGGCAGTGACCACCCATATGTTTTGTGACTGAGCAAGAGCATACGCAACCAGGAACCCCCTCATATTCTGATAGATCCCCAGACCCAGATGAAAGAGATGAGATTCTCCTCCATTTAAGTCTGCTTCCCAGGGTGAAGTCTCTCTCTTCCCTCAAACTCTACTCTCCCCATCCCCCAAGCAAGCATGAATTCTAAAAAGGAGCAGGAAAGCTGACCTGTGTGGAATCTGAGGGAGGGAAGGCTTCATCTGCTCGGAGTGCCTCCCCAGAGATCCCTCCCCTTCTTCCTTTCTCAGGTCCAAGGCAAATTGTGAAGTGAGGAAAGATAGTTTACACCTCTGAGCCCTTCTTTTTGGACTTCTAGTCTTTCTCCCAACCTCCACCCCACAACAAACTCATCTAGGGATCTCATGCTCATAGAACCCCCAGGGTCTCATGCTCCAGATCTATCTATGTAGTTCTCTTCTCAGTCATTAATATTCACTTGTTTATTTAGGAGGCCAGTCAGTCATCCAGCAATTTTTCCTTCAGAGCTCTCTTAATCCCCAATAAAGTAACTGACATCATGTTAAAGGTAATAATGGTTAATAATGGTTTAATGTTTCACCTTTCCTGGGGTTCTTCAGATCATATCATGCAGGCTACAGTTTAGTGAGACTGGTCCTGCTCAGATCACAGTAAACAGCAGCCTGGGGTTAGATTCAGTTAATGAAGTCCCTATGTGACTTTTCCTCTTAATCCCTTTTGGGAAGCCTGGCTTTGACTTATATTTGGAAGTAGTCAAGGAAGGAGTAAATACTTAAAGCATAAATGAGGCAAAGAACTGCAGCTCAAGAGGAAGGTTAGGGGAAAGTGAATTCTGTCTGTGGCTGACTTTGTTTAAGACTTGCCCTCTATGTATGCTTCACCCCCGCCCCCCCCACAACTGTTCTGTCATCATCTCAAGGCTGATCACCATCCTTGTGCATAGGAAATTCACCCTTGCCTGCATACCTGGGCAAGTTACTTAACCACTCAGTTTCCTCATCTATAAAATGATGGGGTTGGACTAGATGTCCTCTAAGGTCCTTTTCAGCTCTAGGTCTATGATCCTATGACCCTGAGGCACTTTGTACATCACCTCATACAATAGGTCTGTTTTAAGTTGTTTCCAAATGCAAGATCAAAAGAAATCCTCAAACATTCTTGTAACTAATTAAAATTTTTATTGATATCTTTTGATTTTACATCACCTTCATTTCCAAATATATCTTTCCTCTCTTTGCTCCCCAGAGAGCAATCCCTTGTGATAAAGAACAAAAAAGCAAGAGAAAGAAAACTAGTCAAAGCGTCAGTGAAGCCAGATTCTATATCCATAGTCCTTCACCTCTGAAAAGAAGCAAGAGATACATTTAATCCATATCTCCTCTCTGAGGCCAAGTTTGGTTATTATAATTGAACGGTGTTTAGTTTTTATTCTTGTTACCCCCCAAAATGTTTTTGAATCCATAGCAACAGGGCTAACTTTTTGGGGTACTTATCCTGTGATAATTGCTTAGATGGTTACTCACAGGCCCATGTATATACCCTGACTGCCACCTGTACATGGCAGGGCTACACATCTCTAACTTTGAGGGGAACACTTATTTCTCCTTCAGTCCTATTATTTAAGCTCTCCTTCTTCCCCCTTCCTTCCCATTCTAGTGAGGATGCTCTGCTGATCCAAGGTGATGGATCCAATCTTAGGACTCTTTATCAATTCCCTCCCCATCCTCAGCCATCTCAGCCCATGGCCTTGTTAAAATGGATGGATCTCTGCAGAGCATTTTCCTATATGTCATTTGTTTCTAGTTTAAGGGAGGTGTGTCAGAATAGTTTTTTTTTAAATTAGTGGGGATGGGCAAGAGAGAAAAACAGATAATCCATAGGTATTTCTTGAGAGGAGGGCACCAATATGTACCCAGCCACCTACCAGGTGCTATGTTGTTTACAAAATAAATATGATAAGGTCTTTAGCCTAGATATACTTATTAGTAAAGAGTAACTAAAACATACAATAGAGAAAAATAAAGTGCTAAAACCAGAATAAAGTGATCAGAAAGGCAGTCGAGGCCCTATTAAAGTGGGCAGGGGAGAAAGGATCCACAGTTAATGTAGTGGAAAGAGGATGAGGCACCATCACAGGATGCAGAGAAAGAATTATCAGAGAGGCAGGAGGAGGACAATAAAAGATCTGTCATTAGTATTTTTTGTGTTTTTATTTTAGCTTTTCAAGTAGATGTATCTCATCTCCTCAGTGGGATCCTAAGCTCCTTGAGGGCAGAGACCATGTTTTTATAGCCCCTTCATGCATAGCTGATGCCAGCTGCTCAAGGAATACTTGTTAAATTGAATTCCTCTTCTCACTCCTCACCCTCCTCCTACCAGGGGACCACTGGTCAGGGTAGGTGAAACAGCAGTGAGTCGTGTCTTTGCCACAGAAAAAGGAGATCCCAGAATAACAACAGAAATCAGAGAGGGATGTAACACTGAGTAATAAGTAAATACTGTTCAAGGATTGGGAGGGAGGGGGGTGGCACAGAAGAAAGAGGACTCCTCCCTAGCTTTGTTTGTCACAAATAATGGGAGCCTTTTTTTTTTAAAAAGGCAATCTGGGCTAAATGATTTGCCCAGGGTCACTTAGCTAGTAAGCGTCTGAGGCCGGATTTGAACTCAGATCCTCCTGACTCCAGGGTCAATGCTCTATCCATTGTGCCACTTAGTTCCCTGAAAGGGAGCCTTTTTGATATTTATTTTTCATGTTTCAGAATGTAAACTTAAAATCTTGAATGTAGTGTTTTTACATGTTCCTGTCTTCCATCCCTGCATATCCAATAGAAATTCCCCTAGGCAGAGTGAAAGTTTGGGATTGGGTCATATTCCTTAGAGAAGAAGCCTTTGGAATTCATGCACAAAAGGCCTTGTGATTCTGTCATAAGGCATGGGGTTATTCAAATATTTCTGTCACCTCTTTTGAGAGGCAGAACAATACAGTGAGTTTGAAGCCTAGCTGCTTTCTTGTGGTACCTTGGGAAAATTATTGATTGGACTTTTCTAAGCCTTACTTTACCTTTCTGTAAGATGAGGATAA